TCTCTCTCTCCCCACTCTCCAGCCTCTTTCTCTGTTTTTCCCCTCCCTCTCCATCTCTCTCCCAGAGCTTGTCTTTCTCTTTCTTCTACACACACCTTTAGACTGAGTAGACCACATGCCTGACTTAACAGAACCAGGCATTGGTTCCATATAGAAGGAGCTGGAGAACCCAGCGGACACCTCAGTCTCTCTTTTAGGCTGATATGAAGGGCCCGGTAGCTTTTTAAACTCATCTCCTCGCTGCTTTCCACGCTATGACTGCTAAGACTATGGTTGAAACCCATTAGGTGACGTTTTAAAAATAAAAGTCAGAAATGTTATTTTACCTAAAGAAAGAAGGACAGAATGTCACTTTCTAAGGGTTTACATTTCAAGGGTAGATACTGCAACCTGGAGAACTCCAGAGAATCTTAAGGCCCCGCGTACCCTCTGGGAGCTACTGCTGCAGACAGTCTGCCCCTGGGTCTTTTCTGATCCGAGGCCCTGAGAACGCTTCCCTGCCGCCAGGCCACTGCAGGTTCACAGGACAGGGACAGCCCATTGAAAGCAACTTTTAAACCTGGATGCCGAACCTTCGTTTTCTCCTTGATATTATGGAAATAAAATAGAAAGCATGAAAGGATAAAAGAGGGAGAGTGGAAGGGAAGGATGGAGAGAAAGAGAAGGAAACTTTGAGACTGAAACCTAAAGTAACGGATGCGGTAGATGTTATGTTGTCAAAGCTTCCTTTTATCAGTTTTGTTCACGGATGCTGGGTTACAAGAGAACAACGGGGCTCTGAGAAGCACTAGGGACCTCGATATTTTCCAACACGTAGCACAGTACCAGGAACAACGGAAGGAATGGAGGGAGGGAGGGAGGGAGGGAAAGAGGGAGGGAGAGAGAGAGGGAGGGGAAAAAAGAAGGGTGACATTGGAACCAGGACTTAGATACAAGAAACAAGCCATAACAAAAGCTATTACTACAGTTCATTGTGGTTTTCAACTGTAAGTTACTCCATGTTAGGTTCATATTCGACAATCCAGCCCAGCGAGATACACGTTTTTATTCCATCTCAGTTCTAATACTTAACAGACTGAATGATTTGGAAAGCAAAAGTTACTGGCCTGTATGTTAAAATGGAGGTAGGGTGGCTTTGAGGTTATCTTCTCGTGGTGGAGCTTGAATTCACAAGAGATCCTCGATGAGGTCCTACCTGACCCCACCTGGATGCCCCCGTCACTCAGGAGAGATCAGGGTCTTTCACATTCAGGTCCTGCAAAAATAAGCATCCCCCACAGCACAGCAGTGCCAGCCTCCATGTCAGAAACTGAGATCCCAGTGACTGGCTCACGTCTCATTATCTCGATGGAACAGCCCAGGCTTGGGAAAGACCCCCACTGCTGATTTACTCAGGGCCATGCTGACACGGGGTTTGTGGCTTTGCAACATGGGTTTTGAATTCTAACGTGGTGTTTGCTTTTACCGTGTTTTTTTCCTGTTAGGTGTTTTTGGTCATATAAATAATCCTGTCAGCTGCGTAAAGAGCGGTGGGGTATGCCTCCCGATATATTGCCCTAATGGCTTTAAACAACTCGGCACCTGTGGTCTCCCTGGAACAAAGTGCTGCAAGAAGAATTGAGGAGGCCGAGAAGCTTCTGTGGCTGATGTGGATTCAGAAGGGGCTCCCTCAGCAGAGACGTGTGACATGTAAACCAAATTAAACAAATGTTCAAAGACACAGAATCTGGATGCTAGTAATTG